TAGCCAGATTCTTCATCAGTACATTGTTGATCAGTTTAGTGGTACCTGTAGGATTCTGTGTCCTTTCAGAGCTCAGGAAGCAATCCTGAGAGGAGCTGTTGAGTTTGGAAGAAACCCGTTCTGGGTTGCATCTCGAAAAAGCCCCTACACATATGGAGTGGCCCTCTGTGAGCCCTTTGATGAGCTCAAACATAAGCCAGAAAAGAAATTCATGATTGGTGAGGAGGAATGGTGCTGTGATATGTTCAGGACATTGGTGCGTGTTGGTGAAGATGTCGGGTGGGATGAGATTAGAGTACACATCCTTCGTCCGGTAGACAAGTATCAGACTCGCATGGTGATGAGATTTTATCGCACAGAAAGGCTCTTTCCTAAGTATGTTGATGACTTGGGAGTTGAGAAAGCTGGTTCATTTGATGTTGAAATGCCTGACATTAATGGAGGTAGAGAGCGCCAGGTGAGGTTAGAAATCAAGTTCGGCTCCACAGAGATAACAGCTAAAGGCATAGACATGACTTCTGGCTCAAAAGGGTTAATCAAGTTTGACTTTATTAGGACAGATGACCCAAGTTGCGTTGAGCCTTTTTTATATTACAGTCCATTTGGAAAAACAGGACTAGAATGAGATTAATGTAGCAGAATGAGAGTAATCAGTTTTTTTAAGCTGTCCTGCTGAACTTTTTGTCATTATTTTCTTAGTATGAGACTTTGTTGTCAATATGAAATGGTTAAAATATCAACTTTTGCTTGAAGACTTTTAAAGTCCTTGAATTTTTTAAACAAGTTTATCATGATCTGCAACCTGTAAATGGAGAAACTTTGCAGACCTTTGTAATAATGATGAAAAATCAACCTTAATCACACATAACATGCACCATGTCTTTGGCAATTGGAGATTCACATGAAATCCTCAAGAAACAGAAAATTGAGTTTAGATCAGTTAATTGATGTTATATTTTATGCTTTGAATATGTTTCAGGTGATAAACGTGTTAATATTATTTAGAGTAGCAGTTCATTGAAAATGAATGAAGTTTTTTGCAGTTTGTGCTTTTTGCTTTCTTGTACCTCAGCTTTATTGCGGTAGATTATATAGGAATGTTAGGGCTACAAAATAGAAGGTAACAATTAATTTAATCAATGCATATATTTGATATGCATGATTTTGGTGATGACATTAATCAAAATGTGACATTTGCTCAATTTTTCACTGTATTATGTTTATAAGCACTTTGAAATGCCTTGTAGCTGAAATGTGCTATACAAATAAAATATGATTGATTGATTTGATTGATAACTTTGTATTTTTGTGTTTTATGATGTAAATAACTGGATTGCCTTTCTGCAGAAATGTTCTATGCAAATAAACTTCATTAATTGATATCTCCTTGACAAGAACTTTGTAAAGTTAATGTCAATAAACACTCTCTCAAATAAGCACACTTGTTCAGCTTAAATGTATTATCTTGACCTGAATTTGTTGTGGCTACTCTTCCATCATAATGAGGTCCAAAAAACAAAAATGCCAGAGTAGGATTTTTTCAACTCACTCAAAATAAAATGCGAGGTTTCTGGTTTCACAAGTGTGTTTTTTATTACTTATAAAAATGACAGAAATATTCTCTTATTTGACTTCATTTAAAAATGTAAATATAATGTGAATTTTGTGGTCAAAAAACTGTTTTACATCTCACTTCTTCACCAGTCAACCACAATAGCTGTTTTTGCTTCTTAACCACAGCAGATGGCTGGCTGGATTAAGCTACACAATGCATGGCCTTTTTATGTCACTGTTTTTCACTCATGTCTTTGTTTTGTCTGAATGTTGCTTTGTTCATACTTCCTTAAAGTGTATTTTCCTCATTTTGTTTTATTTCATTACCTTTTAGAAACTGTGGGGTTCTCATGATTAATCCAGAAATAGAATCAGAACAATTTTAGAATCCAGAGAAACAACTTTAAATTGTGGAGTACTCACTTTTAGACCAATACTATAAATTTTAGATTATTACAGTATTTTTAGAAATTGTGGAATACTCACTATGCAGACCAATATTATACTTAGATTATTATGCAGAGAGACTCCTGTTCTTGCAACTGAGAAAAGGAATTTAGAACTCTTGCAAATTTAGAACATACTTAGCAAGTCCAGAGGATACTTACTTATACTTTAGCGATCCAAGTAATCTGAAACCTAGAATCCAGAAGAACTACCTCAGGAAATCAATAATATATAAACATCTAGCTTATGTACTTCAGATCAAAATTATTGGATCTTTTTTTCTTCTTTTGCTCTTTCCTTTAGTTTTGTTGTTTTGTTTTTATTGTCTTTTAATTCATGTAAAGCACTTTTAATTGCCTTGTTGCTGAAAATGTGCTTTATCAATAAAATTACCTTAACATAGTAACATGCTTGTCCTTGTAGGGTTTCAAGGGTGCTGCTGCCCATCACCAGCAGTCAATGGGGGAGAGGCTGGGTCATCCTGGATAACCAGAATAACACAGAAAAACAACAGCCAGAAAAAATAACCATGCATGCACACTCAGACCTAATGAGAGTCAACCTTTTCCAATAGTTAAATGAAAATGACTGGAACGAGGTAATAGACGGTAAATTAACTGGAAGGTAATAATTTTCTCACCGTGAGGCCTGAAAATGAAAGCAGAGTGAATGAATCATCTCAACAAAAGGTATGACTGACATAGACACCTTGCATTTTTATTTTCTTATGTTTTATCTCCCAGCAACATTTTTTTGTTCTTTGTCATAGAGTCAAAACAATGAGTGTGTGTCATATTATGGCAAAACTTTCTGGTAAATTCTAATTTAAAAGACATAAGATGATAAATATTTTTTTTAATGTTGGTCATGGTGGCAGTATGTTTGAGGAGCTGTTAGAGTAGTTCTGATTTGTTCTTTTTGTGAACTTATGTTCATAATTCTTTTGAACATTATTTGTTTTTAGATGCTGTGCAACTGAAAAGACTTGTGCTCTTATGTTTTAAGGTAGATTAGCAGTGCAATTTCTGGTGTTGTCCAGTACATGATACTGTGAAACATGGCTCAGCTTCCTGGATATTGAGCTCTTAGCATGTCATGACAAGTCTACAGTCAGAGGTCCACTCAGCTTCGTTGCAAGAGTGACTGCTACTGGAGCGCCTCCCTGCTCACAGCATCACCATCAACAACAAATCTTTGAAGATACTTGTATGATTTGAGTTACAACAATATTTAATTTCCTCATGACATTAATAAAGTATGTCTTAATTTGAATTGAATAACGTTGTAGATTTGTTTTCCTAATGAAAACAAATTATTATATTCTAAAGCCAAGGTTTGTGAGCTGATATTGCCAGCAAATACACAGACAAAACAAAGATCAAGTCACGTTTCTCCCTCAGAGCTCAAAAGATTCTTTTTTGCTACTTTTTTGCCTATACTTGACAATGGAAATTAGAGTTTTATTAATATGTATCCATAATATGTTATATGTGTGCTTTTACCAGTTGTCTACACTCTTTGATTCTGGTGTATCTGAATCAAAGAGATTGAGATTCATCACTGGTCGTAGTCAATTCATCTTTTTGAAATGAACAAAAATGCTGCCTTGCCTCCCCTGAATGTACAGTGACATACCTTCTGCATGACTCCGATGTTCAAGGTTGTTATTAAACTGTTTCCAATTTATTTATGCACTTTCCTCCAGAAAACCAGGAACCTTTAAGCCTTATTCTCTTATGACAGCCGGCATCTCTACATTCCTCATCTGCCAACAGAAACTGTGTTGAAAGCTTTCAGTTCTTCTGCCCTTTTTGCTTGGAATGCATTGCACTGTGAACCAGTGAACATTTCCACTCCATTTTAAGAAACAAACCAACAACAGAAGTTCTTACAACAATATCTGTGTTTTAAATCTTTAATATCACTGTTTTTAATTTTTACAAAAGAGCTACAATCTGCTCTCTACCAAATTGTAGCAAAAACTGTTATTTTTTGTATTTTTTTCCTACTACTATATTATTATTCTTTGCTAAAATGGATTATTGCAACCTATAACCCAAGACCTATTATAAGTTCTATAAAGTAATTTGTTTAAAGCATATGTAATTTTTACAAAAAGTATTTCTTTTACTTATTTGTTCACACTATCACTATGTCATGACAATATGGTATGAATTTTCACAGGTTGTCTCGTGACATGGTGATGGTTTTACTAAACATGTAAAAATATATTTTTTATGCATACTGTAGCTTTAAATACTCACATCTCTACTCACATGCAACAATTCAATGACATTCTCCCATGAGTGATGTCTTATTAAAAAAAATGTTTTAGCTTGTAACTTGAAACCTTTAAGGCCTGTTGATAGAAGTGATGTGCACAAAGTTTCTTTGAAAGATTCTTCACCAAATTAATTAGTTTAGGACATTGTTTTAGTTACAATATTCTTTTGCTAGTGGCGAAATAGCTTGAATTAGCCAAAGCCAAACTTCCTCCCTAGCATAAACTCTGATTGCCATAAAAACTTGAATATAAGCTAAAAACATTTTAAGAGGGCTAAATGGGGGCCAGTGATCTTTGGGTGTCATACCAAAATAGAAACCCAGACAGCAAGCGGAGCTGAAATAAACTTTTTGGGTGATTCACAACATGAAGTTCAAAGATTGACAGAGGTGCATTTTCTGGGCGGGTTGAGGAATGCGTTGATAACTGCTGTTATACCTGAACTCCTTCAAGGTGGGACAATATTATTTCTTTTCTATTCTAATTGTTTCTGTTTTAATGTTAACGAGTTTCACCCTGAACTGAGTTGTCCAACCAGACTTGATCATCCGTTCACATGACACCTTAATTGATTCAGTTTCCTGGGTCTGTGTCTCATGTCTCCCACTGCTGAGCAGAAAATGTATAGCACCATCATCCCATCAGGATATTGTGGTTAAAAACTCACTGGAGATTGTGACGTGAGTCACTTGTTGTTGAAACAGGTCTAGTTGGTCTGAGTAGCTCTAAGAAATCACAGCCAGTGAGTGCTAGTCAGAAAGCGTCTGTTTTTTGTTTCCTGACTTGCAGCTCTTTCTGTTGTCAACAGGATTAAAAGTCAATATGCCTAAAAAGAAGAATACAAGTAAAACTAAGAAGCCCACATTGAGGTAAGAGGAAACAAACTTCAGTTTATGAAAATCAAACTTAGAAATAAGAAATGTTAAATTGGAAATCAAAACTATGTATTAATGAAATGCTGGAGAAAAGGATGACTCTCATCGAATGTAAAATCAGGAACTGTTTAAAGAACATCAATCTGCTCAAAGGACTAGTTGCACCAACAGGTTTCTCTCCTGTCGCTGCAGAACGGAGACCTTTAAGAGATCTTTTGTTCCCTCTGCTATAAGATATAACACCTCAGTCTGAACATGTGCACTTTCATTATATTTAGTTCAATCACTGGTAACTTTCCTCAATCTTTTACATAGTTTTTAATATCATTTATGTATTTATGTATCTATATTTTTGGTCAATCTTTACACAAATATATCAAATATATTACATAGAACTCCATTGTACATCCTGTAAGTTATAATGGCCAATGTTTACATTCTGAATACTATAGAACTATTTGGTTAAAGATGCAACAGTGACCTCTATGGCTGCAGTTTTCTGATGTTGGTGCAACAAATGCATAAACACAGGGAGATGTGTTTTAATATTTACAGTTTACTACTTGATCTCATTTAAATGCAGCGAAGAAAACTGTAAACAGGATGAATAAAATACAATTATTTAATGTCAGTGCCTTAAAGGATATCTTGATGGAATCTAATAGTAAACTTAGTCAGCTTAGTTTATGCCACAAATTTTCTAATATGTTGATAACAGAATACATTTAGGGTATTTATAAAAATTGCTATCAATAATTTGTTATTAATTAAATTATCAATAAAATCAAAACTCTTTGGTTTAATCAGGGCACTGATTTCAGGATCTGTGGAATCATGAGTCAAACTCTGAGGAAGGAAGGAATTCAAAGCATTGGCAGAAGAGACTCTGCAAACAAGGAACGATCACTGAAGCAATTATTTGTCATAAAACTCAGCTCAATCATGTTTTCAGCAAATCTCAAGCTAGAAAAAGGAAACCTGGTTTTAGGCCTCGTATGACCACAAAGTGGAAATTTATTTATTAATATAACAACAAAGAAATAAAGGTGCAGAAAGTGCAAAGGAGAATCAGGGAGCAGGAGGAAATGAATGATTAAAGAGGAAAGGAGACAATGAATTGTAGCAGTGTTGAACTCAATTTTTCCTAAACCAAACAATCTGCAACATGTGGCAGACTTAAACTAGCAATAACATAAAAATATCACAACGTATAACCAGCAAAAGTGATTAGCAACAGCAATCACACCATTTCTGCTGGAAGTAATCCAGATTTTGTTTTCTTATTTTATTACAAATGGAAAACATGAATTAATATTTTCCCACAGACTCAGTTAGAAACAAAAGGAAGATGAACACCCAATTCAGCCCAAATAAAGGAATCGCCTCACTCAGTCAGGTGAAAGTAACGTCCAAAGCACAAAAATTGGTGGAAAAGGGGAAAAAAAAAATCCTTTTAGGAAACAGATGCAAGGGCTGGGATCTTAGCAAAGAGGAGGTTCTCAAAGGAACCTCTGGTACTTTGAGTTGGAAAAAAGAGGAAAGTTCACTTCTCATATAGGAATGATGAGATTGCCACGGCAACCTGATCACTGTAAAATTATCCATATTTAATCCATATTTTACTTTCCAATTTCATTACCAATGGAAAACATTAACAAGTACTTTCCCACAAACTCACTTTGAAACAAAAGGAAGAGGAACTGAGTTCGATCAGAATCAGGTAGGATAAATTTAGAGCATTGCCTTTTGCAGCTTTCAGCTCCGTCTCTATTAGCCCACCTGACCTAAAGTCAATGCACACTTTTCTACTTTCATACATATCTACATTTGAAGTCTAATAAAGTTGTTTTGCAGTTGTATTCTACAGTTGAAATGACATTGTTTACCTTTAACACAGTTCTCCTCAGATGGATTCATCTTACAAGGAAAGACTGGAAGAGGCAGGGTAAGTACTATAATAACTGATCCAGACCGGCTCATTGACTAACATGTAAATAAAGAATCAACACAAACTCTTGCAAGACAACTCACAATCAAACCATTTCTACTGGAAGTAATGCAGATTTTGTTTCCTTATTTTATTACAAATGGAAAACATTAATGAATATTTTCCCACAGACTCACTTTGAAACAAAAGGAAGATGAACTGAACTCAGTCAAAGTCCGGTAGGATAAATTTAGAAACAAAAGGAAGAGGAACTTTTCCAGTTTTCAGCTCTGTCTCTGCAAGTCCACATGACACGAAACTTAATGCACATTTTTCTACTTTCATGCAGTTTGACTAACATGGAGACGTGGTACAAAGGGAGGCTTGGTGAGATGGAGTAAGTATTTCATCTGATGTCTGTAAATATTTTTTCACTAACAGCTTTATAATGCTAAACAGTTCAAAACAGTTCTTCATTGTAACTCATTGTAACTCAACTGATAAATCTGTGGTATATTCTGCTCAGATACAAAGAAAATAATTCTCACTGTGCATTTTTCCCTTCAGAGCTGCTCTGAAGCAAAAAGAAGATGAACTTAACTCAACTAGAATCAGGTATTTCCTTTACTATGTGCTTTTATATAAAACTGCTGGTTCCAAGCAGTTTGCTTATTATTAAGTTACAAATAATAATCAGGTACAAATCCACATGACACAAAACTTATTGCACATTTCTCTTTTATCCGATATGTTCAATGAAAGAACATGTCAGATGACATGTTCAGTAAGGTCAGATTTTGACCTTGTTGTTCTCATATCATATGAATGGTATTAAATACAGTTGAGTGAGCTTTACTTAACAGTGCTTGGCAAAATATTTGTTTTTTACGACAAATGTTTTAATAAATCAGTTTTATCTTTCTTTAGGTTCTTTGTATTCATTGTACATTACGACTCATGTTTTTCTGACCAACTCTACATTTGAAGTCTAATAAAGCTGTTTTGCAGTTGTATTCTACAGTTGAAATGACATTATTTACCTTTAACACAGTTTCACCCAGATGGATTTATTTTACAAGGAAAGACTGAAAGAGGCAGGGTAAGTACTATAATAACTGATCCAGACCGGCTCATAGACTAACATGTAAATAAAGAATCAACACAAACTCCTGAAATACAACTCACAATCAAACCATTTCTACTGGAAGTAATGCAGATTTTGTTTCCTTATTTTATTACAAATGTAATATTTTCCCACAGACTCACTTTGAAACAAAAGGAAGATGAACTGAGTTCAATCAAAGTCCGGTAGGATACATTTTGAGCATTTCCTTTTCCAATTTTCAGCTCTGTCTCTGCAAGTCCACATGACACGAAACTTAATGCACATTTTTCTACTTTCATGCAGTTTGACTAACATGGATACGTGGTACAAAGGGAGGCTTGGTGAGATGGAGTAAGTATTTCATCTGATGTCTGTAAATCTTTTTTCACTAACAGCTTTATAATATCAAACAGTTCAAAACAGTTCTTCATTGTAACTCATTGTAACTCAACTGATAAATCTGTGGTATATTGTGCTCAGATACAAAGATAAAATAATTCTCACTGTGCATTTTCCCTTCAGAGCTGCTCTGAAGCAAAAAGAAGATGAACTTAACTCAACTAGAATCAGGTATTTCCTTTACTACGTGCTTTTATATAAAACTGCTGGTTCCAAGCAGTTTGCTTATTATTGTTCACTATATTAGGTTTTGTTAAGTGACAATGTGTGATGGAAAATGTTATTATCAGGTACAAATCCACATGACACAAAACTTATTGCACATTTCTCTTTTATCTGATATGTTCAATGAAAGAACATGTCAGATGACATGTTCAATAAGGTCAGATTTTGACCTTGTTGTTCTCATATCATATGAATGGTATTAAATACAGTTGAGTGAGCTTTACTTAACAGTGCTTGGCAAAATATTTGTTTTTTACGACAAATGTTTTAATAAATCAGTTTTATCTTTCTTTAGGTTCTTTGTATTCATTGTACATTACGACTCATGTTTTTCTGACCAACTCTACATTTGTAATCTAATAAAGTTGTTTTGCAGTTGTATTCTACAGTTGAAATGACATTATTTACCTTTAACACAGTTTCACCCAGATGGATTTATTTTACAAGGAAAGACTGAAAGAGGCAGGGTAAGTACTATAATAACTGATCCAGACCGGCTCATAGACTAACATGTAAATAAAGAATCAACACAAACTCCTGAAATACAACTCACAATCAAACCATTTCTACTGGAAGTAATGCAGATTTTGTTTCCTTATTTTATTACAAATGTAATATTTTCCCACAGACTCACTTTGAAACAAAAGGAAGATGAACTGAGTTCAGTCAAAGTCAGGTAGGATACATTTTGAGCATTTCCTTTTCCAGTTTTCAGCTCTGTCTCTGCAAGTCCACATGACACGAAACGTAATGCACATTTTTCTACTTTCATGCAGTTTGACTAACATGGAGACGTGGTACAAAGGGAGGCTTGGTGAGATGGAGTAAGTATTTCATCTGATGTCTGTAAATCTTTTTTTCACTAACAGCTTTATAATGCTAAACAGTTCAAAACAGTTCTTCATTGTAACTCATTGTAAATAAACCAATGAATTACACATTAATTGATGTTTTGTTTTCGTATTGTGTTAAAACCATTGGTCACTTTCTCACAGAGCTGCTCTGAAACAAAAGGATAATGAGCTGAACTCAGTCAAACAGAGGTAGCAATCACAATATGATGCAAAATATGAACAACCACGTTTATATTTCTGTCTGTCTCACATTGATTGTTTTTTTTCTTTTTGTCTTTTATGTTTCTGTGAACTTCTGATTTCACACAGATTGACTGGGATGGAACAAAAGTAAGTATATAAGCTCTTTTCACAGGCATATAATTAGAAGCGCTGTATGATAAACATCAACATTAAATTATACAACAATAAAACAAGAATAAAAAGCTCAGTAAAATTATAACAGAAAACCAAGGAAAAATAAGAATGTTTTCAGTTGAAAACCTCCACAGAGTCAGCAAAACAAAGCTAACCCTATATTCATTATTCATAGGTTTCTATTGTGGTAATGAAGCCTCCTGTGGTCTTAAATGCTGAAACACAAATGAAGAGGAGCATTGACTACAGATTATCAGGAATAGTAGAACATTATTGTTCATGACACTTTTCTGTATTCATTCGTTTGTTTTTCAGGATGACCGGCAGACTCACTGTTTCTAGTTGTACTGAGGACAAAACAATGACTGTCCAATCAGTGTACAAAGAAGCTTCTGGGATTGAGACCAGTCCCAGCAGCAGATTTAAACCTTACGATACAAGGTAACTTATGATGTTAGTTTTTCTTTGAGACATAGATCTATTATTTTATAAACTTCCATGAGACAATGTGGATATTATGTTTGGTACAATATAAAATATCATTCCAGTTTAACCTGCTGAGTAAAGTTAGTGGGTCTTTCAGTGAATTATTGATGGTATCCAAATTTACGTTCATGTTGATATTTTTTAGGGACAAATTATTGGTGTTTTCCTCTCAATGTCTGTGTTTAAGGTTTTTAAAGCTACTATATGTTTTATAGAGAACTGGTGTTTGAATCTGGTGGTTGGAGAAAGGGTCTGTTCCACTTTAATCCATCAGCTGTTCAATTGTTTTGTTTTATTAAGTGATTTTTACACTGCTGTTGTTTTGGTGGTACCTTTATTCTTCCTTTACTCAAACCTTGTATGTTCCTTTCAGAGTTGTGCTGCATTTACAGTTTTCAAAGTAAAATGTGAAAACTTTTAACAGATGGGATTAAATGTTTCCAGGCATTTAGACACAAAATAAACCTTGACACAACAGTGTGATTTGGAGAAGAGCAAATGTACAATTCCTGTAAAACAAAGGATAATGAGGAGCAGCCAGCTTTAAACACATTGGAAATATTGGCTCCAAGTGTTCCTAGAAATCAGCTTAGTTCAAAACAATCCCACTTTACCTGATAACAAAATGTAATATAATAAGCTAGGAAAAGAGTGGAGTAGTCACAACTTACATCGTGTAACTGTAAAGATTGCAAATTTGACATGGTACAAAGATTTCTATGCACATTGTGTCATAAAACAGACGTGAAGATCTCAAATGCAGGCAGACAGATTTAGGAGCAAATCATTACCTTGTTTATACCCCAAAAAAGATTTACATTTAGAATCTAATCAACAAAGTAATTTGTTTGTATAAGAAAATTAAATGGAAATTAAAGTTGCCTGCACCAACTTCACCTTCAAAGATAAGAAGTGGTTTTAATAGGAATGTTAATTAAAAAATAATGTCTAAAATTATTGACACACTTCTCAGTAAGTGGTAGAAAAATCTTTTTTTTATGTCTGTGCATCTTTTCTTAACCTGTCACATTTGGATTCCTCCAGGACTTTCTCTTTAGATCATTTTAAAGACTAATTTGGTTTATTTTAGTTTTCTTTGTTGAAAGTAGTGGCATTTTTGCTTTCCTTATATTGGATATTTGACATCAGATTCACTTTTTACTCAGCTTTTCTTACGTTTCTTAAAAGTTTAAACACAATCTTCTAATGTTTCTAATTACAGTGTGGCTGAGATTGAGATATTTTACAAACAAAAATTGGATGAAGTGAGGTGTGTATTTGTCTTATGTTAATGTTATATATTTTATTACTTGTGTAAACAGTATTTTCATTTGTTAATCACTTTCATAGCTCAGGAATGTGCATTTAAGAAAATATTGTATTTCTGTTCCAATAATCACTTTGCTTTATTCATTTTCCAACAGTGCTGCTCTAAAACGAAAAGATAAAGAATTGAAATCATTTAAAGACAGGTAAAACAAAATATTAAAATTATTGCAGCTAATCATTCAGTCAAATGTTGATTATTGATTTATTTTGTAATATTCTTCCCTAACTCACATCAGCTAATTCCGTCAGTTTGTTTATGGATTAAATTTCACCAGTAAATAATGTTGTTGGACATTCTTGCCTGACTGTTAAGTCAGGCAAGAATGTCTAATGACAAGTACTGAACCTTCTGACAACTAAAACATGTTTTGCTGGTTTATAAACTATTCTGCTTACTAATCACTGAGTGTTTTATTCAGATTGGCATCCAGGTCATATTTATTTAAATCTGGAGACACCGAGAGCATGAACAACCCAGTCAGTAAAACCAGACTGACTGAGATGTACGACAACCTGAAACTGCTGCAGTGGCCTAAAGTCAAAGATCAACTGAAATCCAGAAACATCCAATCAAAGGTTGTTCAAGGTTTAATTCAGGTACAGTAAACTAATGGTTTACTTGCTTTGTTTAATATGTAACATATTTGAACTGAAAATACTCAGTAAGATTAAGAAAATGTATTTGTTGAAAATACTATATTAATTTATGTATATAAACACTTACGTTGGTTTTGATTTTGCAAATACAGGCGTTTTTCCAGAAACTAAAGTTGCTGATTAGCCAAATCACCTCTGACTGAGTGATGTGTTGTATGGGATCTGTTCATCTGTGATAAAAGGCCAAACTGAAATCATGCAAGAAAGAAAGGAGTAGCTCCTACATTCCCCTCATGTGTACATTAATTACATTCTCCCCTGTTTATGGTGTTAGACGAAAGTTAGGGTTGTTTTGACATCCAATGAATACAGCTTTGCTGAAAATAAGACCATTAACCTAAAACCCAAGCAATCATTTTAATTTAGTTTTAATGTCTTAAATTTAAACTGCAGGAAACCTTTAGGAGTGCAGCAGGTGAAGCAAACAAAAAGAAACAGCAGATTGAAGAGGCATTTGGACTCAATGAATATAGCAGTGGACTGACTCCACAGAAGGTAATGGACAGTAGGACAGTAATCTTCCCTGCAATAATCTGCTTCTCTCTGGAAACACACGTTTGCAGCAGCACTGTGGTTCCTGTGTTCCAGGTTAAAGAGTACAGACAGCTCACAGTTCAGAACCTGCAGATGGTTCTGTTCCACACCAACAAAGAAGAACTTCTGAAGGTACTGATAGAGCATTGGAACCCAAACAGATTAGAGCTTCATCAGGAGATAAAACTGAACAATTAATAGGTAACATTGAATATTGTCTCTACAGACTGGTTTCCCTGAACTTGGAGGTCAGTACTCAGAGGAAGTGATGGTGAATCTGAGACCTCTGACCTCTGAATGCTACTGGCTGAGCTGCTTGATGGCTTTAAACAATCCTCCTCTTCAGCCGGACTGGAGGAACTTTGTTCCTTCGATGGATCCTTGGGACATTTTCCCTCAAAACGTTACATCTGCTTCTGTTATGTAGAGGAAAAGTACTTTTGCAGGACAGCATAGTTGGTGGTGTTTGGGTTTGCTGGTAATTCCTCTTTTTTTTCTGATTTAATTTCAGTGGTATTAAAAGTCATAAAGCCGTTCCAAGCTTGTTTTCAATATGCTTCACCAGTTTATTTAGAGCTAATCAGAGGGACAGACGGGGAGGCTGGATACTGTTGAGTACAGTTTCAACAGTTTAAGGCCAAATTTCTGGATGAAAATACTTTGAATTGGTTTGATGTAATGTAATAATCTGGATTGTTGTGTTTTCAGTAGCTGTAGGAGGAAAAGTATCACATTTACCAGAAATAAAAGCTTTAAAATATCAATCCATGTGTAAATGATCTGTCATTCACTTAGTGAATTGAGTTACAGAAATAAATGCATTTTTCAAGAATATTCCAAAATATTCAATATAACTACAAAATATTATAGAAATTCTTCTTTAAAATATAAAACACTTACCAAGAAGTCTGTAGCAGCTGGTTTAATACACTTAAGACATTTTGAATCTCACTGGATCTGAATATGTTTGGTTACATGAACCGTAGCTCTACATTTACTCTACACAGAGGTAGAATTGCTGAATATTATCAAAGTATACATTTACGTGTCTGTTGATTCAGTTATTCATTACAAAGAGTTGGACTTTAATATTGATATTTGATTAAAATAGAACTAATTAAGGTCAATTTATTAGCAAGTTGCTAATTAGATTTTTACATCATGTCCTACCACTTCTTATTTTTACAAATCTGTCTGAATATTAAACTGTCTCTGTCAGCTTAAGTTGCACATTTGCAAGGAATGCAATAAATATATTATGAAAATATGTAGGATAAGCAAGATTAAAATTTCAATTCAAAGTTTAGTGATTGATTAAATTAATAACTAACAGAAATGATTTTGGACTGAGAAGAGAGCCCATGCATTCAGCCATGCATGCATTCAGCTAACTGTGTCACTATGTCACTCATAATGACACAAAATAAATTATGTCATTAATTAAAGGCACTAACCAAACATGCAAACAGAAATCCAACTACTACAAAGCAATTCTGAAATATGAATGTTTCATATGATCATTAAGAACATTAATGTTAATCTAAATAAAACCTAATAATATCTGACTGTTTAACCTTCACAGCAGCTCAGCTAGAGACTGCTTTATAGAGCAAAAAGCTCAGAGGAGCTAAAAACAGTTTTTCTAAAGTAGCAACACTGAGAGATTTAGATTTATAACGTTGAGAGATAAAGTATATTCATGATATCTTGTTCTTCTTATTAAGACTTAGAGAAACTCATCTGTGCATTAATCTTTAATTGCATTGATTGTTGCAACAGTGTCCCATGAATGAAAAATAAAATCTTTTAAGACTAGTGACTAAAACAAAAGCCACAGGACTTGTCTTCAAGTCATTCACAAAAGTTTGAAGCCAAAAGAAAAAGATTCAAGATTACAAATATTTTCATTGTCACTTGAAAGGAAGTACTGGTAAAATATTTCTTCTGAATCAAAACTTTGTTTCAAACCTGTTTGTGACTAATCAAATAACTGACTGTTGGCCACATCAGAAAGGGAAACAGAAACCAGTAACGAGGCAAGAATCAAAAGCACACATATAAAAACACGTGTTGCATAAAAGAAGATAAATGTTAAATACAGATATTAAAGACCTATAAGAAGCCAATACTTCAAACAATTTGTTTGCCTGATTATTGATCAAAAGCTGAATAATGTTATCAGTCCTGATTTATAACAACCAGCAGGGGTTTGTCCCAGAGCTGAGGAACATAGACACTAAATGTTACCTTGGCTAGTTCCAATCTGGTTCTGGAAATACTGAGCAGTAGTGGTGGTCAACATGATTCATACATTTAGTGCTTTACAGACAATCATTACTGCAGTGACATAAAAATAAAACGGTGATATCATAAATTTTTTCTGATCTTGGTCTGGAAGCTGCCTGATTTGTATACCTTTACACTTGGCTTTGAATAATTTAACCCTCTAAATCAGTTTTTCAAAATGTGCATCTGGGTCCACAAATACATCCGTGTCTCTAAGATGCTCTGTGGTCTTTAGCCCCACTGAGACTAGGTGAGGAATGATATTGATCCAGACATTTTGGAACTAAAACTGACATTTGTAAAAAAAAAAAATAAAAAAAATAAAAAATAAATAAAATAACAAGTGTAACATCCCCCCTTTGTTTGCTTGTCATCTAGCACGACACAGAATGACAACTCTTCCCTCGGCTGAAAAATAAAAACACAGTTAGCGTCATCAGCCAGGAACACCAACTGGAGCAGCTCCCACTCATAGGGTCATATTTTTCCACTCCAACCACGACAAAACTTTACAAATTACATTTGTAGATGTTAAATGTTCTTATAGTATTTTGTTAACAGTTGAACTTGAAAAATATGACCCCAAGTAAAAAAAGTAATGAAGAGCTGCCTCTCTTTCACCGACCTCCACCAGCATTCCGCAGAATTCTGGGAGTGCAGGTGGTGGCATGCAGTCCATCACACCACTAGGTGGCTCTAAACCTTTGCATCAATCAAAAATCCAATTAGAAACAGATACAATTATTATTATTTTGGGTAAAATTCATATATACATATACATACATTTTGCTCTCTGTTGCACCAGCTAATAAAATAAAATAACAGCAAGCAAGCAAGCTCATCTTCCTGTCAGTTAGTGCTTGCCACAGAACTGGTTCTGACCTACTGGAAATTGCTGATATGCAACTGACTGATTAAATTTCACTTTGAGGAGAGTTTTCCTTTGAACAGATTGTCACGAAACAATGGGGAAGCAGTGATTGTTAAGCCAGTTTTAAAGTTAAAAGTCAAAGCTTACAAATGAGTGTTTATTAGATTTAAATGAATAAAACGGCAGGTTGAGCCTTCTTGTCACACCACCAGCAGCTGACTATGATTTCCTAATAATTTAAAAATGTAACAATTTGAAGTTGTACTTCCGTGTTAAATTCACTGGATAGTGTGTTAAGCATATCTATTGGCCAGTGGTGTTCAAGCTATTTCAGCAATGGTTCTGCTCAGTTCATGATCAGTTCAAAGCATGGGCTGTTAAAATATTACTTCAGAATAAAAATAGCATTTCAGATCAGTTTGCACAAGGTTTGTGTTCAAATAAGTATTTGATGTGGAAACATTCTGCTGCTCTGTGCTTAAAAATGGGAAACATTATTGTTTAATGGTAATATAAATTGCTGGTGTAATATGATAATCACATTGTACTTCTGATTGTGCAATTCTTAAAAAAAGCATTTAATCATTTAGACCATTCTAGCATCTGAACAAAAACGTCAGCAAAGCATCAAAAGGGTTTGAAATCATAAAAATAAAAACAAAAACTTTTAGCAAACATTTTATTACCCTATATTTACAAGGAATTTTGTACACACACACTTAAAGGCCGTTTGGGAATAAGGTTCTTGGTATTTGGATGAGAAAATAAGGAAATTAACAACTAAAGACACATGAGAAAACACCTGAACAAACTGGAAACAAACCAATGATTCAGTTTTCCTCTGAATTCATAAAGAGCTGATAAACAGGAAAGATGAATGAAAGAGAAATTGAAAGCTATCAAAATTCTTGCGAGACCCACCTCTTAAAAACCAGTTTTTCTGTTTGAGTTTCTTTAATTATCAGTTCAAAACATTTTAACTGAGAAACCAGAGAGTCAGTTAATTGCTCTGTGAATTCTCCTCATTTCAGGGAACAATATTTCTTTAATTATAAAACTAATAAGATATTATTCTTTTTTGTTTTTATTTTTAACAGTATACAGAAAAGTCTAAAGAAGTTACACTTTATTGTTGAATGTAAAATACCGCATGTAACATAATTCCATCATAAGACTTAAAATTACAACACACCACTTCTTTGTGCAATGGGGTTCTGAGTTTGAACACTTCAACACTCTAGAAATGTGGAGCAAATCAAGGAGCCTACAGGATTTCAACATCATAGTTATTTCTGTAAACATGTAAGTTCTTTTCATTCTATTTATTTAACATGTCTACAAATGATATATACCTTGAAACCATTTAATTGTGCTCGTCATTCTGTCTTTATTTATTTATTGTTCTGAGAATGAAATAATAAAAATTATCATCTGTGTTTAAATGGAAGTGACGTAGCGTACAAGCAGGAGGTGTGGTTTACAGAGAGATAAATAAATGCAGTCTGACTGCTGCTTACTGGTACAGTGACATTTTCCCCTTATCTTGACTGGTTGTCGTTTCTTTCTGCAATGGGTGACTCGTTTGTCATAGCAATCGACTTTGGCACTGCATTTAGTGGGTATGCCTTTAATATCACAAAAGGACAGGAAAAAAGTGATCCACATCTGCAAAGGTGGGGAAGAGAGTATGGATTTGACACCCCAAAGACTCCAACCTGCATTTTGTTTAATGAAGATGAAAAATGTCTCAGTTTTGGCTATGAAGCCAAAATGGCTTACAAAGAAATGAGCGGAGAAGAAGCGAAGAAGCATTATTTCTTTGAAGACTTCAAGATGGCCCTCTACAGCAAAGTAAGTATGAACAATAATTTTTGTATTTATAGATGTTGCATACATTAAATTGGAGGTAATTAGGTTGATCTTCAGCTAGGAGTTAATTTAAAATCACAGCAGACAATTTCTAGGAAATTGTGTAATAAAACATTTGAACATCAAAAGGAGATTGAATGGAGATCTGGAAAACATTAAAGGAAATTAGTAAATTACATAACTGTTTCTTGTTAAACGTGTTGCTTGACATAATGGAGGATGAATATTAAGAGTACACTCTCTGCTCATACAACTACATTTTGTATCTAAAATATAAATGATTCTTTAATCCCCAGCATCTCAGCAATAATCTTGAGATTAAAGACGCCAATGGAAAGTCTATGAAGGCATTGAAAGTTTTCTCAGAATCCCTGAGATTTCTTAAAGATGATGCACTCAGGACAATCAACAGAAACACAGGTGGGGATAATTTGTTCATTGCCTCTGACTTCACCTGGGTCCTGACGGTTCCTGCCATCTGGGATCCTTCAGCTAAACAGTTCATGAGAAAAGCTGCAATGCAGGTAACATCAGGTTTTACAGAAACCATTGAAGTTCTGAAATGTTCAGATGGATGAATGTTTGTTTTTGTAGGCAGGTATTGTAACAGAAGGAGACGAGGAAAAACTGGTGATGGCACTGGAACCAGAAGCTGCTTCAATCTGGTGTAAGAAGCTTCCATCAGATGGTTTCATCTCTGAGAAGCACAATGAAAAG